AGATTCAGCAGTTTAAAAGAACTAAAATTGCAAATTAAAAGCAATAACAGCATTCACGAAGCAACGCGTTGGATATATGTTTGCGCTATTTTACATAATATTACAATACAAAAAAATTGTAGTGATGAGTTTTCATATTTTTTTGTAAATCTTACATATATTTTATATTTCTATATTACATTAATTTAATTTTTAAAACTTACAACTAAAACTATATATATTTTTATGTAAATCCTATATATATTTTATATTTCTATATTACATAAATTTAATATTTAAAACTAATAAATAAAACTATTATTTAAAACTATATATATACAACGAAAATTTAAAATGAAATCATATAAAAATATAATTTTTCTGAATATTGAAATATTTGTTGTTGTTATTTTAATCAATATCCAACGTTACTTTTACAATTTCTGATTTTTGTATTTCAAATCAATTTCGTATTTTTTGAGTTCAAACTCAAGTTTTAATTTTTCCAGCTCCAATTCCTTGTGAGCTTCTAATTCCATTTTTTTTATTTGCAGAGCTTGTGCTCTGTCTAATTCGGCGTTTTCCTTCATAATTTTTAGTTTCTGTTCCTCCATTTCGATTCTGCGTTGTTGTAGTGCAATAATCGAGGATGTAGAATCGCGTTGTGCGTAAATAGATCTTTTTCGGTTCATTCCGCGCATTCTAGATGATGTTGATGGAGTTGGAGAATCTTTCACTGCACCGGCCGAATCGGTTTCATTTCGGACATTTCTGGGCATAGCAATGGCTTCTACTTCTACTTCTGGTGGGTTTAAAAGACACTCCACAGAAACATCAGATTCCACAATGTTGACGTTCACATTGCTACGTCTGCCAAAAATGTCATACAGCTAATCGAATTTTGGGCATATCTTTAACACGTGTTCTGCAAATGTTATCATAATTATTTAAGCACATTTTAAGAATGCATTAAACTTATTGCCTGTGACACTTCTCTCCCCCATATCTGCTGTAAGACCAGCGCCAGTGCTCTTCTTCCACTCCATAGTGGAAATGAAACCTGTCTTTAGGTACCGCATTTTGTTTTTTAAAACAAGAAAATTAAGGCCACTGAAACTATTACTTTTGGCCATTATTTTTAAGTAAAATAATTGCGCAGTTGGTTTCTATATTGTAAACACAAATAAGAACATTACTTTATCGTACTAACTACTACAATATTACACTTACCTCAAAACTTTCTTGTGCATCTGTTACTGCATCAACTACCAAATGCAATAATTCCTGCATTTCCACATCTCCCCACTTAAACGCTTCAGAGTAACGCATGCGTTTGGATGCTGGTGCTTTATCCTAAAAAAACAATTAATGCATTTAATATTTGAATGGGAATATTATAACATACTTTGAACTACTTACTTGACTTTCCATTTTATTTGTTTTTATATTTATTATCACTTTATAAGAAATTTTTTAAATTTGATATGATATTACAAAATACTTGTGTTTGCAAAATTGTTTACACACAATTCAAACAGCTGTGAGAGACAGCTAACAAATTTCTATACAAAAGTTCATTTTAAGTTATTATTACGACACTTGGTACTGGTAGCACTATTAATCAAATTTGTACTAATCTGAGAATAACCGAAATAGTTGATTCTCTGCTTAGTTTCATTTTTGTGTGCAAATTTTTGTTGTAATCAACTACTAAGCAACGAATCAGTTGCCTGAATACCCCTATTGAATTTAGCGTGAATAAAATTATTTATATAATTTCAAACTTGTAGATCACTAGTGAATACTAAGTGAGCACTGTTTTAGATTTCTTGCAATTTTCTTATAACTTTTTGCTTTTATTTTAATGATTGTGTTTAAGATTCATTCATGTATTGTATTTTTTAATGAACACAGAAATTAAAAAATTCCTTAAAAAATTCTTAACTTATCCATAATTACTAACCTGAGAGTCATTTTCACAAATTTTATTAAAAAAATTATTTTTTCAAAACATTTAAATTTACTCATGAACACTCGCAACGGTTGTAAATAATCAACATTTCCTTCTAAAAATCATTCACAATAGATCAGTTTTAGGATTTGGCACCATTGTAGTGCGACAGCCTTATTGGTTATGTATTTTCAAAAAAGTGGACTTATTTTTGCAAATTTTGTTTTTGATTTGCATGTTAATTTTTAAGCGACACGGAGCATTCATGTTGTGGATGCACCTTCAATAGGGTGTCATCAGAGTCAGGTCGACCGGCAGAAAATGGAGAGCGCGCATGTAAGAGAGGCGCAGGAGATAAACCGGTCGATTCTGACGAGGTTTTTCGAACAACGTGTGCGGTTGAGGGAGATCTTGAAAGAACCTCGTGGTAGCAGTAGCAGTTGGGAATAAGCGATTGAAGCGAACAGTAAAAAACGAGAAATAAAAAGACCGTGAATAATTCCTTCTAAAGTAGAAGTTTTACAGTAGAAGTTTTTAATATATTTAATACAATTATAATACGAATTAAATATTGCAATGAAATCTGTAAATATATATATAATCAAGAAGGTGGGGAGTTTGGATTGGCAACCCTATTGAATGATATCTAATAAGTGCGCGCGCTGAAAAGTTTAATGAAAAATTTAAGTTGTATCGTGAGAAACTAATGACAATTGGTTGATTACTGAAAATAAACGTTTGTGTAATTACTACGCGTTGGAATGTTGTGCAAAAATTTGACAATAATATAATTTTATTTATTGAGACTTCAATGGACAAAGTAACGTTGTATTTAACAACAGTAAAAAACCAAATATACACAAAAGTGCTTACGATCAGTGGAACTTAAAATTATATTCAGCGTTAAGTTCGATACAAAATTATAGAAAATATACTAAGTATAAAGCTCTGAGTGGTTCTTGTCTGTGCTGTCGGGTTTGTCTATCAAACCGAATTTTATGCTTTCAAAGAAAACACAAGCAGAATTTAAAAAATTAAAAAATTAACTTTTCAGTTATATCATAAT